AAGTCACTCACATCTCTCACCTAATCACTTGTTATTTTCATAACACCAAAAAGCAGACACTAGTATTAGTCGTCTCTCAGCCTCCAATTCGTCAAATTAAAGATTACCAATGACAAGAACTTGAGATGTCACCTCTCCTTCATTCTCTTTATCCATATCCTAGCTATAGGCAAACTCAAGACTCTTTGCTTAGTCATTTTACTGTAAATTAAACAATCATATCTAATTTATATATTTAATTATTTATTTCAAATATAATTCATTTCGTATTCGATAATTATTTCGGAATTGGGATTGGGATACCGAAATTATTTAGGGAATGGGATTGACTTTCGGGTGTAATTCGGTATTTGGGATTTCGGTATTTGGTATTGGGATACCGATACCGTACCGATTTCCACCCCTAGTTATAATCAGTATATTTTCTTGGGTAATGTCTATTTTTTATCCAAATATTTTTCAGATTCTTTTATATTATCCTAACCTATTAAAATTCTAATAATTAGCCAAATCTATCGTAATGCATCAAATATTAACCATTTTTACGTTATCGTTAACAATTTTGTAACTTTTTTCTTAGTTAAATACTAAAATTTTGGAATGTTGTTGACCTTCATGTGTCTCTTCCAAGTCAATATCATGTTGCCAAGTCAATATTACTAACAAAATTACTAACTAAAAGATCACATTTGGCTAATTATTAGTATTTCAATAAGTTTGGCTAATAAAAAAGAATCCAAAAAATGTTTGGATAAAAAATAGACATTACCCATTTACCCTATTTTCTTTAGCGAAGATGATTCATGTAATAATACATTGCATGAAGAAACGTGAAGCAAGCTGGTGGTCGACATCTCTGTTAACCAACACATTTTTTTAATTCCAATAACTCGAATCACTGGATTTTTTTTATATAAGTGTTTATGTCATTTCTTTTTTCGTTACTATTATTTATACTAAGTCTGATCAATAATCTAAATTGTTAGAGAAGATTTTGTATGAAATTTTATATATCCATCCTTGTTCTTTTTCCCAAAAAAACAAATCCATAATTCCTTTGAGACCGTTGATGGCGGCCAAATTGTACATGCATGACTTCAACACCCATAAACTCTTAACGGTATTGAATTACCATTGTAACTTTCACTTTTTCACTTACTAACAGATCATCACTAGCTAGCTACAACATCTAGTAAACTCGCAAACAACTAATTATCACAAAGTGTAAAATATATATAACTAGCTTATTACCCGGCCCGTTGGCCGGATTACTGTATGTTACCCACGTGTGGAATGGGAGAGAAAGAAAGTAAGAGTGAAGGGATTGGGATTCCACTTGATTAGGATCGACCTACTAATCCAATTCTTCCCAACCCGCCCCAACCTAAAGGGCCAGAAAGAGTCAATAAGAAAATACGAACGGAGAGGATTAGTCATATATCTTGACTCTTCAGAAGTGGGTCAAACAGGATCAAGGTTGGGTGAGGGCAATTTTTAGCGCTAAGCAGAGTTCTGGGTTGAATAACTTTACTTAGGCCTAGAAATTGGTGCTGATGCAGACTGCAGTTTTTGTTATACCATCATCAATCATCATTGAATTAGTCCTGGGCATCCCTCCCCGTTGTCGGTTCTAATGATGGCTTCATTCCTTGCACCAGCCATATCAGTGAGTTGTCATCTCGAGCATGATTTGCCTATGTACAAATGATACAATTAGAGTATGAAACTGAATTCAAAGAAAAGGAAAAGAGAATTCTATCGCATGCCAATAAATACACACATAATAGTTGAAGCTAAGTGAAAGTCATTACTCGCACATCAATTCTCAAAAATTACAGACTAAACAATGGCTAGAATGGCACTGAAACTACCAAGAATCATGGACGAAACAACTTGTCAAATTAAATAATCCTTATACTGAAACTACCTTCTAACATGAAATAAGACATGATCACAGTTCATAACACTCTTATCACTATGAATTGGTTGTAGCTCGTCCTTATCACTGCCTCCCAAGCTCAATTCAAACAGAATAGAGACCGTTATGTAAGATAACCATATCCTTACTGATCATAATTCCTTTCTTCACTCCATTTTTGTCGGAGAAAAGAGTTATCCCTCTCTCCTGCATTTCCCTTTCCCCCTCTCTTCTCCCTCTTCTTCACAAACCGATCCCTAAACCAGCAACAACAACACAACAATAGCCTTCGCCTCTGCCATCTCCATCTACTGAACGCGTTGGTGGCAAGACAGGACTGCAGAAACAAAATTTTCTAAAATCAAACTAAATTTTTTTGAAGGAGACTCAACCACGAAAAAAGAGTACAACAACAATGCTTATAGTTCATATGGTTGGTTTTGATGTTATACGTTGCTTTTGTTATGGTCTCCAGTATATCAACTGCAACAGAGATGTTTCCTCCAATCATCTTTAGTGCATGATTTAGAAGTAAGTCCTCTTGTTTGTGTCAAAAGGAAACATTCATGGGTTCTTAACTCCCCTGTTAGTGTAAATGCAGCAGCAGCAAAGAAGTTTGACAACACAGCAAGCATCCAGGCAAAATGATACAATGCAGTAGGTAATATGTGTCTTGAAGATTTTGAGTTACTAAAGTTTATGTTAAAAATAAACATGAATTAAAATGGATTATTCTATTAAGCAAACATCCCCTCTAATCATACAAAGATCATATATTCAATTCACAAACAATTAAGCCATAAAAAATCATCACACATCCACCACCTTATATTGCCTAAATTTGGTTTTTCGCAAAGTTATGGACTCTTAAGGGTAACGTTCATGGGTAGTTTGTTTCATAACTCTAGAGAGCACATTAAGCAGCCACCAGCCAGACACAGTGCGGTAGGCGAATATGATTCTCAATTCACAATTTCTCACCACCGGAAGTAAGAACATACCATAATAAACGTAGCGTTCATGGGTGGTCTGTTTCATAGCACTACTACAGAATTTGTTAAAAAAGAAAGAAAGATATTTAGCATCACGGCGGAACAACTTTTACAGGCCAACAATGACAACATGCTGCAACCACCAGAACTGGTATCACAACTCATTGGGAAAATCAAAAGATTCTCTCAAATTAAGTAGTTACAACATCGAGCAATCGTCAAGCACATACACCATCACAAAAGTCACGGAACCTGATTCACAAAGCATTCAAACATTTGAGGACATTTCTGCAAAGGTACAACTTATATGTCTTTTTTCCAAGCCATTTCCATCAACATGCTAATAAATTTGCAATGCATAAATCAAACGGGCCAAAACTTGAAATTCAGCCTATTTGACCGACCCATGCCAAATTCTAATTATTCTTTACTTTAAAACTTTCTATTTGAAAAAAAAAAGTGAAAGAACAGAGACGACTACAATTTGCCATTTGCACATCACTTATTCGGGAATAAAACCATAGAAATTCAAAAGGAACTGAAAATGTTTAGGATCGTTTTAATGTTTAAAATAACCAAATAGATCTTTATGTTTAGTTTTTTACTAACAAATACCAAACGATTCCCTATAAAATACACTATAATTTGATCATTATGATGTCAAATAATTATAAAATATATATTTGAAATGATAAAAATTGGACTAATTGGGTTGGTCGAGGTTGAACCATTGAATAACTTTAAAATACATTATATTTTAGCCACTAAGATATAAAATAATAGCACAATATATATTATGCTAGAGAAAATAGCTTGTTTTAGAATGACAAACCAATGATGTTCATTTGTTTTACTTGATGGCCAAATTCCATGTAGGTCAGGCCATTCAACTCTTTTATTTTACCGGTAAAAAAAAACAACGCTTTTATTTTATGGTTACCGGTTAGCCCATTAGATACCATGCATTAGTTTATTGTTAAATTTTTTATTTTAACAATAAAAGGAGTATTATTTTTCCCTTTTCATATATATTTTATCACCACGGAGAAATAAAAGGGTATAAAGAAAAAAATTGACACTCCTGGACCCGTTTAAATCCGCATGTGTACGGTAAGTTGGCCCGTTCCACAGAGGAAAGAGAGAAAAATTGACACTCCCTATTCTACCCTTCCTACAAACGCTCCTGGAGCAGGGAATTTGAAATGGGGGAAGAGTTTTTTCCACCCTGCTATTATATGTTTTTAATTTAAAAGGATACAACAAATGTACTTAGTGTGATTGGTTATTATACTTGCCTTCCTTTAAAATTGTAATGGTTCGAATCCCAGTACTTATCTTTTTAATGAATAAAAAAAAGTAATTGTGAAGACCAAAATGTCCTTCCTACTTTCACTCTCGTTGCAGGAAATTTGAAATGGGGCTCCCGTTTTCTCCTTCGGTGTATTATAATATGTGTAGATAAACTAATAATCTAGTGATGGAGAGTAGCATAGGCGTTGATGAGAGCCAGGGCGTTGCTGGTGAGCTGCGCAATCGTCTCAATCTTCCCTCTCACCGCCGTCTTCATCTCTCCGGCGGCCGCCGTGCCCTTCCCGGCAAACCCGTCGTTACACATGGTCTCGTCGGTCAGCGCCGCGCTGACGATGCAGTCAAAATCGCGATTTTACCTAAAAGCGGTGAATGAGTAAAATCGTAAAGCGTAGAATCGAAACGTAAAAGCGTAAGTTTTTAATGCATCATGTAAAATAGCTAAAAATCTATCAAGTACAACATGTCATATATAAAATGTGAGTGTATAAATTTTTGATAAGTGAATAACTACTTGCAATTCAAGTGTACAATGCAATTTTCACACATAAATTAATTTGTGTAATTTCTAAAGTAGAACAACAAACTCATAAGTCACAATATTTTAAATTTAAGTTCATAAACATATATGGTAAGTAACTAAAAAACGAGCTTACTATATTACAGGACTCAGATATGTACAAACAAATCTCTGCAAAATTATAAATTCACGTTTCACTCAACTATGTTCACTCTACCAACAATGAAAAATGAATCAAACTTCTTCTAGGTGGTCCATTCTACAAGGGAAAACAAATGGCAGGGAACAAACCTGAACCATGGTGAACTGGAATATCTCTTCCTCTTCTAGACGATTGCCTCTCACTCATACCCGCTGCATAAACTAGTTATGTTTCAAGTTTTTAGAATCAAATCACTAACATACATACTCTTTCGCAACTTGTCTACCAGATTTCCTTTTAAGAATAGGGAAAATGCGTGAACCATAGTTCTTCCACAGTTCCACTAACAGGCAGCTCAATATCTTTCTCTCTTTATGACCGAGCAATACTCTGTATATCGATTGGTGGAAAATCTGCCAAAACCTTTCAACGAAAAAAAATCATCATGATCATGGATTATCCTTGAAGAATCAATCAAACAAACATAATAAGGGGGCTCTTAGAAAACACACTAACCTGCCCAAGATCGAAGAAGAGTCAGAAATTAATCGACCTCTCAAAAGGTCCGAATCAAGCGCAAACTATTAACAGATGGGACGGGGGGAAAAAGCAAAGAAGTAACAACATTAAGTTCAAACTTAGGAGAGAAAAGAGTCCTCCAAATGATGTGAAATTGTGGGGCTCTGGAAGTTTACCTTGTACATAACTTCAATTCCATAATCATGGTGAGGTTTCTTATTGTGGTTTAATGCATTTCCTGATCGGAGAAGTGGTGAGATCCGTAGGCAAATATGGAAGGAGGTAGAGGACGTGAGGGAGAGGGCCAGTGCAGGCGCCCAGCGGCTATTGAGTTTGAGATGGAAGCCGATTTAGGGTTTCTTTCCCTTCTCTCTCGACAGTAGCTTGAGGGAGCAAACCCCCTTTTCTTTTTTTATCTTTTCAGTTTTCACAAGTAATTTTAAACGGAGTCGTTTTTCCGATAAGTTGGCATTTCTGACACACGCCTGGAATCGTATAAAAACGACCAGAAAACGCGTTTTTACGTTTTTTTAACGTTTTTACCCATTTTACAAACGATTTTGTACGTTTTTGTGTACTATGCGATTTTAGGTAGAAACTGAAGCGTTCTAGTGGTCTACATAGGTAGAAACGTACGATTTTACGCTTTAAAGCGCGATTTTGACTGCATTGCGCTGACCCACGTCTGGACGTCGCTGATCATCATCTCGAAATCCACGCCGCCCTTAGAGGCATGCATCTCGTCGATGGACTGGCGAATCTGGTCGACGGAGTCCCCGAGCTCCTCCACGCAGTCGCGCATCGCCGCGGAGTCGCGGGGGCTGATGCCGCCGTGGGACTGTTGGAGGTTGACCATTGCGGCGGTGGTGGACTTCGCTGACGCTAGGGTGACGTCGAGGGCGGTGGAGGCGAGGAGCTTGGCGCTAGTCTGGATTTTGGTGGCGCGGGCGGCATGGGAGTTGTAGCACAGCGTTGGGTACGTGGTGGCGCTGCAGGACGTACGGATGAACTCCACGTTGGTTGTTGGTGCGGCGACGGCGGAGAGGGATCTGCTGGAGGCGGATGACGTGGAGGCGAGTATCGAGATGGCTAGGACGGCGGCGAGGAGAGCGGCCGAGAGGGCGGTGGAGGAGGAGGAAGCTGCCATTGGTTTAGGGCGGTGGGGCTAAATATTTGGGTGTATGAAAGAAAACTTGTGTTGCAATTGGTTGTGAAGAATGAAGATGGGAGAATGGGAGGCTCCCAATTTATAGGGCCGGAGGGTAAAGATTATGTATTACGGTCAATTATTAGAGTAGTATATTAGTATACAATATGGATAGGGCGTGGACAATATATAAACTAAAATTATCGAAGAAAAATCCTCGTTTTTCTTCGCCCTATCTGGAAACAGAATCAGCGGAGAAGGAGACAGGGCTCCAATGTTCAAACCTGTCGACCGTTAGAAGGGAGACGACACCGTATCCATCATATCCAATCCAAGCATCAAACAAGACGACGACGATGCATTGCACCTGGAACGAAGTGGTCTCTAGCAAATTACCAATCGAGTCCACAACTTCTTAATTTGTACTTTTTCCCTTTTCGGATTGTACTTTCTCCTGTCCCAAGCTTGTCTTCTTTCCTTGAACTGTAAACCAAAAACTCAACAGCAATGATGAAGTGAAAATCAGCACAAGCCAAACAAGTGTTACAAATTGTAACTTAGAATGATTTGCGTTAGAATGTAGGCTTTTAATCTTTAAAGTTGAAATCTTGAATACAATTATAAGGACAAAGTGTGATTGAATAAATTGATTCCAGCAAGGGCTAGCTAGAGGAACAGTTTGGGTTTTTTAGTTGATATTTAGTTCATTACAAATTTATAATATTTAAGTAATTTAAAAAAAAAAATATTAGATTGAATTAAGAACCATGTTTAATAAGAAAACATCAAAGTTCTTGTCTAATGTGACTATCAGCGAAAATGTGAGATATTTTTGGATGGAATGTAGATAGGAAGACCAATCAGAACATGTATGCACTAAAATATCTTCCTCAACTAAAATATCTTCCTCAACTGCATTTGTCCTTGTTTGATAGTATGTAAATTATACAAAATTAGCAACGTCTCCTAATCACCTGTCCTAATCAACGAAGAGTCGAGACACTAATTAGCACTTTCACAAAGCGGAGCTACGTACTAAGGTGTTTGAAGAAAATCATAAATGTATCAATTCACATTCTAGTTTGTCTGTTTCATCCTCGTCCTTTTGATTCCACGGCTTTGACAAGTAGTCATGTTATATGGGTTTGTGTAATTTTTTCAATCCTTGATGATCTTGTTGCATTTTTTTGTATTTTTTTACAAATGCATGATTTCTATATAGTAATTAGGTAGCTAATCGCCATGAAGCAGACAAGAAACTGTAAGGTATAGTATTAATGGTTTGCTTAATGCATTGATATTTGTAAGTTATATATAAATGAGTCGGTTTAATTAGTTGAGTGTTTAGTCTCAATAAAGGAGGACAAGTTAACTTTCATATCGGTGCTTAGGAGATAACCTCGCAGACACAAAATATCTGGAATTAGCTGGGAAGACGAAACAAAATTTGGTTGGCCATAGCATATCTGAAAAGTGATTGGATCCTAGCCCAAAGGTGCTATTGACTGGATCAGTAGTAGGCCCAGATCAAGTTGGGAGGTTACTACTATCCTCTTTCATTAATCAATTTGAACATCTATGTATTTAACAAGTGTTGTTAACTAAAATATATTCCTCAAATTATTATGAAATTAATAGAAAATATAAACAACTACAAGAGAAGATTAAAGAGGGAAAGATACAAAGAAGAGAGGGGGAAGTGAGCTTTCTTATTCATTCTTTACTTTTGATACAATAATATGCTCTATTTATAGGCACACTTTGGTAACCATTACATTCTTATATCAATGCATATGAATGAGAGATAATAATATAGGAATAAGGGTTACATGTAACTCCCAAGGGAGCATCTAATATGGTAGGTCATTGGTCATCCATATATCAATATTTACATAATACAAATGTATTTGTCCTTGTCTCACCCAATGTAATTAACCAGTACAAAATTTGCAACGTTTCTTAATCACTTGATGACGGTTACAACAAAATAATAATCGTCTAGAAGAGGAAAAAGAATAGTTATAAGTGAACAACTCTGGATAGTGTCGCGATGCTCTTCGTTGAGTTAGGTTTATACAAAATATAATTTTCTCTTACCAGCGTTAAAATTAAAAAGGTCATCATTTGCAACGTTCTTTTTTATAGCAAAATACATATATATAGCCAAATATTACCTAGGCAAATATAGAACGTTTGTCTGGCAATTGTATCCCCTTTCTTTGTAAATATTATCACCATTAACACAAAGTCAAAGCGAACATTCACGTCATCACAAGTGAATTCCGCTTCAATTATGAATCGGATGGATCAAATCATGTGGCATGCCAGATCAATTTAAAATATTTTTTTTATTATTTATAAATAAGCAAATAATTTTCAGTAAACCCGCCACCACGACTGCAAATTCTCTTCTTTATTAGAAAGAGTCCCTTCTAAAAACTTTCGGTTTCAGCAAACCACATAAAGAAAGCAAAGTATAAATGAAATAGAAGAAGCATAATCCAATTCCAAACAGTTTGAAGGCAGTAAAGAAAAAGAAACCCACAATTTTGGGAGAGGGAAGGGGTAAAGATCGGATCAGATGGGTCAGTAACTCATCAGTAACCCCACGTGTCGGTCACTTTTTTATTTAAATTAAATGCGAAAGGATAGTCGATAAAATTGCACTTACTTCTATTTATTGCTGACACTGATTTTTTATTGAACAACATCAACTCCTCCTTCTCTCTCCTCGCAAAATATTTAATTTTCCTTCTCTTAATTTTTAACGGACGATTTCTCACTCGTTTTAAGTCGAAATATAATTTTTTTTTAACAGTTAGATCAGATTAATTGTGCTCTTCAAAATGATATCCACTTTTATATTTTTTGGACACAAAAAAATTTGTCAGTTATTACCACCCAATACCATATGGTATAGTGTGGTAATATCAATATATATTTCGTTACCACCCAATATCATATGGTATAGTGTGGTAATATCAATATATATTTCGTTACCACCCAGTACCATATGGTATAGTGTGGTAATATCAATATATATTTCGTTACCACACAATACCATATGGTATAGTGTGGTAAACTGGTAATATCAATATATATTTCGATACCACCCAATACCATATGGTATAGAGTGATAATACCAATAATATTACCTAAAAGAAAGTGAAAAAAACAAAAGAAGGGAGAGAAAAAACACTTGTATTCTGTCTCACCTCATTTCATCCGCAACCAAGAACACCAAACGCCAAAAAATGGAGAAAGATCGGAATTAAAGCCAACGAGTTGATGAAGAGAAGAAACACAATAAAAGAGGGTGACTTCAATTTTTATTCGTCGATTGCTAGAGAAAAAAAATGAAGAAGGAAGAGAGCAAATCTAGATTTGAAAAGGAGATTGTGAGAGAAAAAGTAAGAGAGAAGGAATAGAGAAAGAGAAAGAATCTGGAAAGAGATTGAGAAAAAGGAAGAGAGAATGAAGAAAGTAGAGTTGCAGTCTTGCAGAGAAAAGATCATTCTCTCTCTTTCATTGAAAAGCCAGTAATCGAAATGCGGAATTAAAAAAAAAATTAAAAATACAAAAACGGACAAAAATGCCCCTCCCACCCCCGCATCCAGCCCAGCCACACGATTGCTCCATCCTCCAGATCTACGGCTCCCGTATGATTACTGACCCTATCCCAAACCGGAGGGAAGAAGTGAAAAATAGGTGGGAAAACCTTCTAAAATCCTTCAGAAACGGACAAAAGGAGGAGGGGCGGGACCGACAGGCACGCGGCCTGACGAATTATTTTGTGTTTTTTTCTCTCCAATTTTTCATTTAATTAAATGAATTGGTTTGTTTGTTTTTGCTCTTCAACAGCAACGACCATATTTTTCAACAATCATATTTTCCAACGACTATAAATTGATTACTGTCATTTTTAATACTGGTGAAATCGGATTATTTAGACTTTCCAAAGACTATAAATTGATTACTGTCATTTTAATACTGGTGAAATCGGATTATTTAGACAGAGATTAAAAGAGTTAATCCGACTACAAGACAAACTACACCAAACTCTTCACTTGCTAACCGCGTACTACAACATCTAACGAACACAAACTATTCATAATAAAGCGTGCATAAAATCTAGTGACGAACAGCAGCGTAGGCGTTGATGAGAGCCAATGCGTTGCTGGTGAGATGAGCAACCGT